GTTAATAAACACTAAGATTGGTAAGTGGATGATGGGGTTATTGGCATAATCTCAGAAATTTATCTCCAACAAATACCAATTACAAAAGGAATAATGGTGGTATTGTGGTGGGAAAACCTGGCAGACACCAAAATGACAAGATGATCAACCTAATATCACCACTGTCAACATGGTGTGCCCCCTAATGTGATACACCAATATATCTTTTCTGTGATTACTACCAAGAAAGCATGACCTAGGTCAGATAATGAAGAAACACAGTACGGACCCAGACTGAGGGTCATCCTACAGAACGTAAGACTTGTACTTTTTCAAGCTATCAAAAACATGAAAAACAAAATATGAGGAACTGTTCCAGAATGGAGGAGACAGAAAAACTATGGACAATTAAATGTAATGTGGGTTTCTGGATGGATTCCTGGACCAGAAAGGGAAAAGAGACATTGCTAGAACAATTGTTGAGATCTGAATGGGATTTGTGGATTGGACAGTAGTGTCCTGTCAAGGCTGATTTCCTGACTTATTTGTTTAGATGGTGGCTTTGTGAAAGAATGTCCTTGTTTTAGGAGAATCACACTAGGGTACTTAAGAATTGTAATGTATGATATCTACAGATTGATTTCAAATGGTTCAGAAAAAGAATAATGATAATAGGAGGATAACAAGATGAGTGCATGGATAGAGACAGATAGATAGATAAGGAAACAAATGCAGTGAAATGTTAACAGTTGGGAAATCTAGGTAAGGAGAATATAGGAATTTTTTGCACTGTTTTGCAACTTTCATAAAGTTTGAAATTCTTACAAAATAAATCATTGAATATTTACAGTTTCATTGAACTACCACTTCTACATTGGTAGCCTTCCCTGAAAAAACCATTTCTATTCAGAGTATAACCTTCTATGTCTTCTCTTACCATATATTTAAAATGCACGTATATGTATATAAGGAGAATACATAATAGAGTACTGTCTTATGTAAGATAATTGTAGTTATGCAATTTTTAACATCATAAACTTTGATGAAGTCTGATATTTATTATCACAAATGTTGAAATAAAACAATTTCTGAATTATTAGTTGCCTGGAATAACATTTAAAAACTGACATCCCAAATGAAATGTAAACTATGCTTCTAATTGCCATGTGGTAATGATACTTTAGCTACTAAGCTGAAATAAACTCTATAATTTGTTAGTATCCTGTCAATGAACTCCAATCTTATGTAAGTGCATAGGAGGTTTTTATGGCTGAGATGGTGATGTGAGCTTCTTTTAAATTACAAGTTGAAATTAAAAATATTTTAAATCTTTAAAAGCCATCCAAATGAAGGAAATAGAAAATCACCACTAGGCAAACAGCACAGCAATGTTTGCTGCAGACACTATCCATTAATAGATGTTAGTATTAGAAGACTTTAAATTTGAGGAGAAATGACATATTTGCATTGCCTCAAAGTGTCTCCTCCAAGATATTAATTAATTACAATGGGAAAAGTAGTAACTTTACAGCAGAGGGTCCTGACAGACACCACTTTAACAGAGCGGTTGATGTCTCCAGTAATAACACATAGCAGTATCATGAATCCCTTGATATGATGCTCTGAGAAATGCACATGTCTTCTGTGATATTCTTGCCTCAAACATACAACATCATCCTAATCATGAGAAAACATCAGACAAACACAAATTGATGGACATTCTACAGAATAACTGACAAGTACTCATGAAAAGTGTCAAGGTAGTAAAAAATAAGGAAAGACTGAGGAACTGCCCCTCCAATTAAGTGACACTTCCTGCACAGACTGCTGGTCCACCCTTCCAGCCCCAGCTCATCTTCTCTTCTGAACTTAGGACCAAACCTTCCACAGCCATAGTCTATGATGGTTTCATTTAGTGGTGACATCATCCAGGTTTTGTTTACTCTATTTGAGATGAATAATAAATTCCAATCACGGAAATGTAAGATATGCATGTTCTTTTCTGGAATTCTCTCTCTGCCCTGAATCTCTAGAGAGGGAGAACTCAGGTAAGAGGGTGTGATCTTCCAGGTGGGATTCCTGTTTATTGTGCTGGGCCTTGGGTCTAGGTCTGAGAGAAAAATTCACTTGAGTGGAGCCTTCATCTTGGATGCCAAGTCTGACTCTCTAAGAACACACGGTTCCTTAGAAGCTCAGACTGTATTTTGTATAAACTCAAATGCCACTGAGGACACAGCCAGGTGGGACCATGCAGTACTTCCTGGAAACGTCGATTATGGTGGGCTGCAAGGCCTCTGAAGAGACAGAACAAGGTATCCATTCATTAAATTCAAATCCCATCCCCATCCCAGAACTTCCTGGGGAGCTTGGAAGTGCTAAGTGAACAGAGAGCTGAAAAGAGTACAATGGAGGTGGGAAGGAGATATGAGTATCCTTTAAAAAGCTGGGGTTCTGAACATTGAGTACCATTCCCTTTAATTTTTTGGTTGGTCCTCTCCCAGGCCTTGGGTATTTCCCTCCTTCAGATGGGTTAAACTATACATTTGTCTTGGTATATCAGGGTTTCCCTTCACTTTTATGGTTACACTTTCTCCACTCTTCTTACTCCCTCTTGTGGAATGATGCTTAAGTTTTTATGTCTCTGGCTTTTACCACTCACCAAGCTGGCTAATGGAAACCTCTCTTTTGTTTTCCAGAAGATGGCACTATAGGTCAAGTTTGTGGTTTCTTCCTTGCACAAAGACACTAGTCTGTTTTTCTGGTAGCATTCTGTTTTCTAGACTTGCTCTTGCCACTGGGCTTGGGAGTGTGCACAAGGAGCTGGCCGCAGAAATACGGGAGGTGTGTTTTAGCACTTGGTTCGTTGGTGGTGACTGTGGACCCCATGGGGAATTCCACATTGAGGTACACCCACAAGCCCATGGATGGGCTTCCCACTGAAATCCTGAGCGCAGTCACCGAAACTACATCCCTTTGGATATTTTTATCTGGCTCTTTCATGATATCCTTCCTTCTCCTACATGGATTTCCTACTGGGATTTTATTTGAGATTGCCATGAATTTGTACATCAGCATACAGACAATAGACATTTTTATAATATTGAGACTTCCTGTCCAGGAATTTGTTATATCCTTCCATTTATCTGTATCTTCTAATTTTCCTTCATTATATTTTGTTGGTTTCTGTGTAAAGATGTTCATATTTTTAGACTATTATTAGCTGTACCTTTAAATAATCCAATTTTCTGAAATTAGTTGTATTGAACCTGTATCCAATTTCTAAACTTTTATTTTGGATACTTTTATTTGGACTTTCTGTCTTTCTTATGATTGTTTTGCTTTATTACTCTAAGAACTTTAGAAAAATGTTAAATAAAATTGGACTTAGCAGGCATCTTTATCTTGGTCCTAGTTTTAAGTTGGATACTTTCTATATTTCATCTTTAAATGTGACATTTGCTGTAGGTATTTGTAAAAATACTTTTTAGAAAAGGCACACCTATAGGCATGAAGAATACATAGTGAATGCCAGAGGTTAAGAGTCATGAGATATTTTGACTTCAAAAGGGTAGTATAAAGGAATTTTTTTAGGCAGTGATGAAACAGTTCCGTAGTTTGACTGCAGTGGTGGTTACAAAGATCTATGCACTTGTCAAAACTCATAAAACTGTACCAAATAAAGTGAACTTTTGTGTATATATAAATTTTAAATTAAAAAGTTAAATCTCAATAAATATGTTACCTGTTTTTAGTTAAACATTTGCATTTCTTTCAATTCTCATAATTTACCTTTTCATACATGTATTATTCATTTGCATTTTCTTTTTTATTCTGTTGCTGCTCAGTTCTGTAGCTCATTTTAAGTTTTTCCTTCTGTTGATTTAAAGATCTTATTAATTAATACATTTTTTCTTTCAAACAGTAAAAATATAATTTCCTGGTTTATTTGCTTTTAACTCTTTTAAAATCTAGAACTGAGTCGTTTGTTATTTTCTATAATAAAATACATCATATTAAACTTTTGGGTTTCTTTTTTTAGTGTCAAAACTTCCCATCTCAATTTGTTTATTTTCTTTTACTGACTTAGTGGTTTACTTTAAACATTTGAAATCTTGAATCCATCTGAATTGTATTACATGTGACCTATAGATGCAAACTTTATTCCAAATTGTTGGGAATGACCTGATGTTTGGAGTACTCCACTTTTTCCGTCATTGTTTTGAAATTCTACATTTATTATCCTACATTTAAAAAATATTCTTCATCACGGCTGCTGTGTTACCATGAAACAGATGCCAAACTATTTTGAATGACAGAGAAATTATTATTCATAGTGATATTTCTTAGGCATTTTTCTCCTTTTTGAAATGCTTTCTGGTTGTTCATTTAGACTCATTTTTATTTATTTTTATTTTTAATTATTTATTTTACATAATAGTTATTTAATTATTAAAGAACTACTTAGTTGTTACTTATTTTCCAGGTGAAGTTGAGAATGCTTTTGTAAAGTATACAGTATATTACAAATCGAAGAGAAAAAACTACATACAAAAATTCTTAATGGAATTTTGTCAAAGAACACTGAAACTTTCTATCCATGAAAGGGCATATCTCCCTTTATTCAAGTAATTTTAATGTAACAAATGAAAATGTTTATATAAATGAAGATGTTATTTTTTCAATTGTCTAATTAATGATTTATCTACAATTTTGATTTATTGCTTTCATGATTTTAATGAACTAGCTTTCTTGTCCGTCCCCCCGCCCCCCACCGCTTTTTATTCCTGAGAGAATCGTTAATATTGTCAGATATTATTCTTTTATTGTGTTAATGGGACCTATTTCCAAGTAGTTGAAAAAAGTGAAATTGACATGCAGGTTCCCTCTCCTAGACAGCTCTGTGTCTAAATTTGCATACTGGCTGCACAGAGAACTCAGCCGTAATTCAACACCTTTGGGGAGCCCCCGAAGGGCTCTCGCTGTTTAGGGAACTATCCCAGGCCCCCCAAACTTCCCACATGCAGTAAGGCTGCACTCCCAGCCAATCCCGAACCGCTAGTCGCGGAGACGCAAGGGAAACATAATTCTGACGTTCAGCACTGACAGTCTGGCCCTGCGCGTGGGCCATCTGCGCATGCCTAGTGCCGCCTTCTGTCTCTGTGTACTTCCGCCTTTTACTTGTGTTTCCCTCAGGCCCTGAGTGGGAAGCGGTTCCGGGGCTGCCGAGTCAATGAGCTCTTCTGGGGCCAGTGTCACACCACGAGGGAGCGGCGGGTGAGCCTGGGAGGGTTGGAGGAGGGCCGATGGGGGCCCGCGCTGCTTGGGGGCGGGGGTGGGGCGGAAGGGAGAAGGTCGGTACCCCGTGGTGGGGAGGAGCTCTGCGGGCCCCCGGGACGCGGAGAGGGGGCGTCTCCGTCAGGGAAAGGGGCCGAAGTCCCCACGTGACTGGCCCCTCAGCTGAGCCGGCGCCGCCGTCTGGTCTGGGAGGTCCCCTTTGAGGCCGCAGGAGGAGGGCATAATGCGCATGCGTGACGGGTGGACCGAGGCAGTGGCGAGGGGGCGGTGCAGTGGGGAGGACCTGTGCGCGGGAGTGACGGGTGGTTGTGGGGCGGGTGGTCTGGGAAGAAGAGGCTCCAGCCGGGGTTGACTCAGTTACCTCAGCCCGCTGGACAGACTTCATTCCTTTGATTCTCCATTTATCGTTGTTGGATTCCGAACTGCTCTCCACCCATGTCCATCACTTCATCTTGATACACGTTGTTACTCTGTCCTACTTGCCCTAGCAGTCAGGAAGAATCTTCAAGAATTACCTGTTTTGACTTATTTGATAGAATTTGTTTTCTTTATTTTTGTTTCTGAAGATTAGTGCCTTGTTCATGATCAATTTGTTAGTGTCGAAGACTGAAAGTCAGATCTGCTTCCAAGCCAGAGTTTACTTTTTCATACAACTAGAAGCAAGTTTCTTATAAAAGTTCCTTTTGAGAAATGACAACAAAGATAAATTAAAACATGCATCTTTCCTGAAAGCAGTGCTTTTTATAATTTTCTGTGGAGTCACTAATCAAAGGTTTAGTAACAGTAGTAGGGATATTGATAAACAGCTTAGTCCTGAGTATTTTTTAGAATAGGTTTGGTGAAGTGTTAATGTTCCTTCATTATATAGTTACTTGTTTTAACCAACTTTATCACTTAAAAGTTTTTTGTGAACACCAAGGGAGATTTTAAACTGTTTAAAAAAATTCTTTGGAAGCAAATTTTGGCTCTGAAAAATTTTATGCCCAAGAGCTACATGGTTATATTAGTCATATTATATACGTGGTCTTTCACCAGCTATCTCCCTGTCTCTTCTGAAGGTCAAACAGACTTTTACAGTTTTCCTTATCTACTGGTGTGTTTAGCTTTATAGGGAAGGAGAATTCAGGAGCTTCCAGGCAGGCCAAATCTTTCATGACCCCACTCCTTGTCTTCTAAACCAGCATATCTTCAGTGTTGTCTACATTTTTCCAAGAACAGAAGAAAATGAATAAATCCCAGGTAAGTCTGTTCATTCATTCCTTTATTTAACAATGGACTTTGTGAGATTTGTAAGAGTCCAAATGTTAAGATGGGAAATTAGTAAAAGATAAAAATTGAACTTCATAGAAAATATAAAGTAACAGATCAATAGCAAGGTTGAATTGGCTTATAGATATATACTGATCATTATGTAGAGTTTGTAAGTTGACCTGCACATATCATTACATAATATAGGGTTTCTAAGTAGACCTATAAATATGTTTCTGATGTTTTTGATAACCATGATGGAAAGGGAGACACTATATTTTGGATACAGATTCCTTTCAAGACAGAAGGACTTAACTGGAAGATATCCTTTTTGGTCTTAACATAGGGAAACATAGGGAGTGATTTTTCAGAGACAGCCCTGAAATGAATCCCTCAAACCATTCCTTCCTGTGAGTAAAAGGGTCCAGGAGATGGTTCAAATAGGCAATTTTATGATGGTCTTATTTAATTCTGGTATAAAACCTAGTATGTTTAGAGGGGTAAATGGCCGGCATGCCTATTACAAAACTATTTTATCTTAGCCAAACTGTGCTTACTAATCCTGTAGCAAGTAGTTCAAAGTTAAATTCTCTGGTAAATGTTTCTTAGCTTCTCAGTCATATTTCATCCTATAGCATTCTGTTTTGGTTCTTCCTCTCCGCTCTTCAGAATCTATCCAGGTAAAGGTCACCAATGACTTAATTGTTGCCTTCCTTGTACAGCTGTTACATTATTGTACTGATTACTCTCTCCTGTAAAGCCTCCTTTGTCTACTTCTGATATCATTCTTCTGATGGCTTTTTCTCAGTGTTTTCCTCATTGGTCCCCAGAGTTTAGTTCCTAGTTTAGTTCCAAGTTCTCCTAGTCTTATCATTTTATCCTTGTATGTACACTAAAAAAAAAATGTAGATAGCTGAACAATATTGTTCATTGTTTTGAATGTTTTTTTAAAAATATGTAAATTCTAATGTATATATGATACACATTTCCCCCCAATGCATCAGTTATTTGAGATTATCCATATGTAGTTTATTCCTTTTAATGCTGTGTATTCCCATCCTAAATATATATTTTATTGGTAGACACTTAGGTAATTTCCATTTTTCAGTAGGATAAACAGTGCTGCTGTGAATATCCTTGTCATTCTGTCTGTACAAGTACAAGTGTATCTTCAGACTCTAGAGCAGTGCTTTTCCAAGTGAGGTTCTTTGACCAGAAGCAGTAGCATCACGTGGAAACTTGTTTGAAATGCAGATTCTCATGCCCTATCTCAAACCTACTACTGAAAGAGAAAATCAGGGGTGAGGCTCAGCAATCTGTGTGTGCTGATACCCACTAAATTTAAGAATCACTGCTCTGCAATTCTATGAATAATATTTTTGAGTTATACGGTATGAGGAGTTCTGATTTTTCTAGGTCCATTGTTGTTCATTAGAAGACTACTTTTCATCCCTGCTCTCCAGATACAAAAATTATTTCTAGAGTAATGGATGAAGAACTTTAATTTTGTGACTCATTATTGAGATTTTGCAACTTTCATAAATTTACGCCTTTTGAGGTGTTTTTCTTCTGAGTTTTGCAGGCATTCCTTATGTATTTTAAATGGGAATCTTTTTTTTTATAAATTGTTACTAATTATCTTTTCTCATTTATACATCTGTCTTTTAATGGTATATTTCCTGAAACATTATATTGTGATACAACCCTTTTGTGCCTTCTATTTTTCATTCTTGTTTTCCTTACCCCAGGGACCTAATGAATTTTTTTGTATTTTGTCTCAAAATCCCAAACTTAAAAAAATTTTTTTTAGTACCTTAATCCAGTCTATAATGTGATCAAAGGATCTAATTTTATTTTGTCCATCTGTAAAAAAAATAAGGAGCACGATAAAAGGGTAACGCTTCCTGACAAAGGACTAACAGAATAGGTGGGAGTAAGGAAAGCCCGCCATGCTCCATTTTATGCATGCTGCTGGCTTGGACTGGGTAGATTTTGTCATGTTCACCAAGTATCCATTAAGTCTTATTGCATTAAAAATGAGTTTAATTTTGCCAAATGCCTTCTTAACATTCTTTGGGAGATATTTCCACATTTCTTAATAACAAATTTTTGTGTTCTGAAACAAGCCCCACTTGTTAATGATTTGCATAATTCTTTTTTTTAGTGCTTTCAAACTTTTTTTTAACAT